TTAATCTGTGAAGATGATCTTCAAGGAAAAATTATCCTTGCTATTGCTCCCTACAGAACCACAAAGCAAACACCCTCTTGGTAATGTAAGAAGATAAAATCATAGTATCTTAAGAGTTGGAAGGGACACCAAGGGTTATCTACTCCAACCCCCTGTCATGAAGGAATGCACAACTAAAGCATTCTGGAAAGATGCCATCCAACATCTGTTGAAAGACCTCCGAAGATGGAGAATCCACCACCTACTGAGGGAATCTATTCCATGGTTTGACAGATGGCCATCCAACCTCCAAAGAAGACGGCTCCATCACCCTCTGAGGGAGCGTCTTCCACTATCAAACAGCCACTGTCAGGAAGTTCTTCCTAAGGTTTAGGTGGATTCTCTTTAGGAAGAACTAAACATTAAGAAGAACTTCTGGGTGGCAATAGCTGTTTGACAGTGGAAGACACTGTCTTGGAGTGTGGTGGAATCTCCTCCTTTGGAGGTCTTTAAACAGAGGCTGTCAGGAGGGCTTGGATTGTGTCTTCCTGCATGGCAAAGGAGGTGGACTGGATGACCCTTGGGGTCTCTTCTAAATCTAGGATTCTGTGACTGTAAGAGCTGTCCCACAGTGGAATGGCCTGCTTTGGGGGGTGATGAGTTCTCCTTCTTTGAAGGTCTACAACCTCCAAAGATTAGACATCCATCTTTCAGAAATGCTTGAGCTGTGGATTCCTGCATGGCAGGGGATTGGAATAGATGGGTCTTCCAGCCCTTCCAACTCTAAGATTCTGTGATTCAAGGAGAAGAAAAGCTGGCCTTATTCTATCTCTACTTGCTTAAATACCCCAAAAGCACCAGATCCTGTCTAAACCTGGAAACTAAACTGAGTTAGAACTAGTTAGTACTTGGATGGAGACCATGGGCCTGAGCCTGCAGAGCCTGAGCCGGAAGGTAGAGAGGACAGGAGGGCTTGGAGACTTCTCATTCACAGGGTTGCCATGAGTTGAGATCAACTTGAAGGCAGCTAACAACAACAAGCACTTGGATGGGAGGCCACCAAGAAATACCAGGTGATGTAGGCTATATTTCAGAGACAGGTAACGACAAGCCACTTCTGAGCATTCCCTGCCTTAGAAAACCCTAAGAAATTCATGAGGTCACCATAAGTCACCAGGTAACTTGGAGGCACACACATATATACACACTGCCACCGGCCTGAAGAGATGTGCTGGAAGAGCTTTTCTTCCTAACGCTGATTTCACCTTGGCTGTCAGATGAAGGCTGAGAAATACTTTCAAATGTACCAACTTCCCAGAAGCCACTCTAGTGGGTTGGGAAGCAAGAAATGGTGGAGAAAGGTGGGATGGTGAGGTCATAAAGGCCCCTGGGAGAAAGTTCTTGAAGGTCACTTGGAGAAAGTGGCTGAGGACCATACAGGAGCAACCAACAGGCTAAGGCCTGTTGAGAGAGGAAGAGAAGAAGAAGCAGCAGCCTTGGTCCAGATCTACCTGACCTCTCTACCTACATCTTTTTAGTCTCATGGAAGCTCAGGTAGTCCTCCTGAGGGTACAACTCCTCATCTAGACTCTTAACAAAGTTCCCCTTGAAATCAGCTCCACTCAGCTGACCCTCAGGTAGGACTTCAGCACCTTGTATGATCTCCAGAAGCATCTACCAGTATGTGGTCTCCTCTTTTGCCATCTGCGCACATGGTAGCTCTCTTCCTGGTCTTCCAAGTCCCTGCTGTGAAAGCCTTCATCCGTGCAGTTTGTGGCCATAATTCCACCGTGCTCGATTTTGATGCTTTACCAGCCCTTTTTGGACCTCCCATCCCCAGGGAAGGGTTGGCAGGCTTGCTGGTCGAGGCGAGGCCCGCCAATGCCTGCCATCCCATTGAAGGCCCACCAAACACCACCTCTGCTTTCATCGTCCTTATCCGCCGATATGATTGCTCCTTTGACACTAAGGTCCTCCATGCCCAGCAGGCGGGTTTCCGGGCAGCAATTGTCCACAATGTCAACTCCCAAACCCTGGTGCACATGGTGAGCGAACTGGATGCCAAGGACCGCATTCATATCCCGGCCATGTTCATGGCAGATGTGGCATCCAAGGTCTTGAAGCAGCTCCACCACGCCAGGAAACTGACGTCATTGATCTTGGTACCCGAGTATTTCCACTTCATCTGGAAAGGATTGTCTGGGACCACCCGTATCTCTTCTTCCTATCCTTGGCAGTGCCGCCTCCAGCTGCCTGGTCCCTGCTTGCATATGGTGTCCCTCTATACCTGTTGGATTATCTGCATCCCAGTGTCTGCTTTGATCGCCTCTTTGCTCATTGAGAAATACTTATCCAGGAGCCAAACTTGGAAGCAAAGGAGGAACCAAATCCTCCAAGAAAATGGTTGGACGGCCGTCTCATTCTCTAGTTCCAGATACCAAGAATGTGCCATCTGCTTGGAGAAGTACACAGAGCACGACAGCCTGAAAGTCCTCTCATGTTCTCATGCCTTCCACAGCAAATGCATCGATCTCTGGCATATCACGCAGACCAGGAGCAAGACCTGCCCTCTCTGCATGCAGAAGGTGCTGGTGGTCACCCGTTTGCAAGCAGTAAGGTTATGGAAAGATGGGACGAGGGAAAACAAATGGACCTTGTCGCTGGGAAAAGGCAAGACCATCCCCAACGGCCAGCGATCTTTCCTCCTCCTCTCTCAACGATTTCCTTCCCAGTTCTGAAGACCAACTGAAACAGGATGAAATTCCCTGTCAGAAGACCAGGAGGGAACATCAGCCACGTCAAATGGGAAGGTGTGGATGGCATTGTGTGCTTATCATTATAATTATAGTTATTATCAAGATCTAGATCTAGGCCATCTATTGAAAAAGGAGAACATCATGGCAATTGAGAAGAGGTAAGACCAAACAGCATCCCGGAGAGGATAAAAATCACTAAGAACCAACTAGGAACGGGATGTTTGAGGCTGCCTGGAGAACGTTGCCAACTTCTGCTTTGCTCTGCTCTGCTTCACACATTTCGATGCCAGCAATCAGCCTTTCTTGCACACATCACCAAGAAAATACAGAAAGAGTGTTTATCCAACATGGATTTCGACTTGGCTTTTGCAATTTTTGTCTACATGAAGAAATGTTGGTGGGTATGCTGTGGGAACATTGAGATAAGACATAGGGTGCATCTACAGCAATGATTCCCAAACTTTGGTCCTCTGGGTGTTTTGGACTTCTGCTCCCAGGATTCCTGATCATTGGCCAAGGTGCCCGGGACTTCTAGGAATTAAAATCCAAAACATCTGGAGGACCAAAGTCTGGGAATTTCTGATCTACAGTGTTGAAATAATGCAGTTTGGCACAACTTTAAGCGCTGTGTCTCCATCCTGTGGAATCCTGGGATTTGTAGTTTTACCAGGTCCTTTGGCCTTCTCTGCCAAAGAGTGCTGGTGACTCACCAAACTACAACTCCCTGGATTCTGAGGATGGAGCCATGGGAGTTAAAGTGGTGTCAAACGGCATTATTTCTACAATGTAGAGGCAAGCATGAATGTGTGGAAATAATAAGGGTCATAACTTATTCAGGATAGGAAGAATGTTTAAAAACATTTGGGGGGAAAATGAGGCCCAGCTCAGCCATGTAAGTCCACTGGGTGACCTTGGGCAAGTCACACTCTCTCAACCTCAGAGGATGGGAATGGCAAACCTCCTCTGAAGAAACTTGCCAAGAAAAACCCATGAAAGATTTGTTGGAGGGTCGCCATGAGTTGGAAATGACTTGAAGGCACACAACAACAACAACAAAGCCCCCTTTGGAAGCAAGTGGGCCTGTGGGGCCAATACAGAAGATGACAAGATGGTGGAGAAAACTGCACAGGTATTGTCACTGTGCATCCAAATATGAGCATTCATAAACATGGAATTGTATGTTCAGCTATGCCTCCAAGCACACAACGTTACCATTCAACATTATGGCTGCCTAGACCAGTGGTTCCCAAGCTTTGGTCCTCCATTTGTTTTGGACTTCAGATCCCAGAAGCCCCAGCCAACATGGCCAACAACAGTCAGGAATGATGGGAGCTGAAATCCAAATGTCTGGAGGACCAAAGGTTGGGTACCACTGCCCTAGTGTAACTCCAGATGTGGAGATGTGGTGAATCAATCTGATGGGGGATAACAACCTACGTCTGTTGAGATATAGATAGAGATAATTGAATTGCAAATGCAAAGAAAGAAGAGACATGGGTTTACAAAGAAAAGGGGAAAGAGGAATCATGTATAGAATATGGCAACCTGCGTGGTGTAGTGGTTTGAGCACTGGATCATGTCTATGGAGATTAGGCATCGATTCCTCACTCAGTCATAGAAATTCATTGGGTGCTTTTAGTGGGCCACAAACTCTCAGCCCCAGAAAACCCCATGATAAGTCCACTTTAGGTCGCTACCAGTCCGAAACCACTTGAAGGCATGCAACAACCACAAACAGAGAGAGAACAGACAGAGAACAAAGAAGACATAAAATATAATCATGAGCTGGGCATAGACATTAATATAAAATGAATAAACGCCCGTCCAAATCTGCTTGGAATTGGTGTCTGTAAGATAGGCATCCAAGTGTAGATGAAGCAGTAAGATCTTCCAGCATGGAATGATGGATGAAGAGTCTTTATCTCCCCAGGTTTTGGAGGATAAGCCTTTTTTGCTCTTCCGACTGGTGGCATCCGCATTCAGCATCATTTCCAAAGTTCGCTTTGGGAATATCAAATACCATTTCCAAAGTTCTCTTTGGAATGGAATATCCTGGGATGGGGCATTCCTGGCTGGCTGGTTGCAGATCCCAGTTGTTCCTGACTGGTAGACCTGTCCCTCTCCAGAAACCTGCCAACCTTGTGGTGTTGGTGGTTGTGTGCCTTTAAGTCATTTCTGACTTATGGAGACCCTAAAGTGAATCTATCATGGGGTTTTCTGGGGCTGAGAGTGTGACACGCCCAAGGTCACCCAGTGGGTTTTTTCTGGCTGAGCAGGGATTCGAACCCTGGTCTCCAGAGTCCTAGCCCAGCACACAAACCACTAAACAACTTTGGCTCTTTAAAGTTTACCTGCAACATTGTTCCATGCGTTCAAGTTGACTCCTAGGTGTTTCATTTGTTGTTGTTGTTGTTGTTGTGTGCCTTCAAGTCGTTTCCAACTTATGGTGACCTTAAGTCACACACTCTCAGCCTCAGGGGAGGGCAATGGCAAACCTCCTCCAAACAAATCTTACCAAGAAAACCCCATGATAGGTTATATCCACTGGGTGTGTGTTGTGTGCCTTCAGCTTATGGTGACCCTGAGGCAAAACTATCCTGAGGTCTTCTGTGTTCAGAGACAGTTTGCCATTGCCTTCCCCTGAGGCTGAGAGAGTGTGACTCACCTAGGGTCACCTGGTGGGTTTCATGGCTGAGTGGGGAATCAAACCCTGGCTTCCACCAACACTCAAACCACTACGCCACACTGGCAACATAAGGGCATCCAATATATTTATTATTTTAAGAGAGAAACCCCAACTTTCCAACACTGCCTTCCCCTCTCTCTGTGAGCACAAAAACACACAAGCATGCAAACTCACGCTGCAACACTTTCTTTGACAGATTGCTCCAGGTTACCTAAAAAAGTAAAAAAAAAAACAAACCAACCACGTGGCACCATGCCTGTTGTTTCCCTTGGGCAGTTTAACCGGCTTGAATAAATGTTTGCATCTCCTTCGGCACCCTGCACCTGCTCTCATTAAAAGCACTTTGGTTCCTGGAGTTTCAATGTATTCCTTTTGTTGGGGAAGGATGGCTGATTCCTTCTTCTCTTCCTTTCCTCTCTCATATCCTCACCAAAAGTTCTCCAGGCTTTCAAACAAAGCCAACAACAATTCTAACGGTGAGTCTTTCCCATTTCTTCTGGGGATGTCACCAGGGTTCGATTCCCCACTCATCCATGAAACCCACTGGGTGACCTTGGCCAAGTCACACTCTCTCAGCCTCAGGGGAAGGCCAAGGCAAACCTCCTCTGCACAAATCTGGCCACGAAATCTCCAATATAGGTTCACTTTAAGGTGGCCACAAGTCGGAAACAACTTGAAGGCGCACCGCGCACCACACACTGTAAACAGAAGGCTTTAATTCTCTGCGGGAAGGTGCAGGGAGGTGTTTTGTCGACCCAGATTCCCCCAATTTTCTGTCAAAACTGTGATTGCAAGGCCTGCCTCAACAGGGGTGGCTGTGTGTGGGTATTACACACAGAGAAACACACAAAAACGGAAGCATTCAGTTAAGAAAGCCTCGGACGAGGGCTGCATCCGCACTGCAGGACTAATCCAGTTCGACACCGCTTTCACTGCCATGCTCAATGCTCTGGGATCCTGGGAAGTGGCATTGATGGCGGCACCTTCGCTGGTGCCTAACAAACTCCAGCTCCCAGAATGCCGTGCTATGGAGCCATGACGGTTAAAGTGGTGCCAAAGCAGGTTAGTTCTGCAGTTGCGGATGCAGCCAACATCCTTATTTCTGTGCCATCTCTTTTGCACATTTCCCCTGCTGTTTTGCCTGCTTTCTCCCTTGCATCTGGGCCCCTCCACTGTTCACTGCCAGACATCCCTTGGTGATAAGTGAGCAATCTTTTCCTAAGCGTTGGGGGGAGAAAGAGTTCAAAAGAAGAAGAAGAAAAGCTAACGCAGAAATCAATCCACTAAAGAGCCTTTTTTTATCTCTGTTGGACCAGCACTCCCATGAAGGGGTCAGGCGCCAGGGTCTCCTCCTCCATTTAATCAGATGCTTAGCAGCCCAAGCTCCTGCTGGCTGCTTTGCTTGAAGAATTATTCCCAGAAAGGCCCAGGAAAAAAGAAAGGCTGGGTGGCGCAGAGTCATTTTGCACATTCATGAGTCAGCTGGGAAGAAGGTGGGACCAGGGAGGGAGAGAAAGCACATCTGAATCTATTCAAGGCCTTCCCGATTTACGGCAACCCTAAGGGGAACCCATCATGGGGTTTTCTTGGCATATTTCTTCAGAGGGGGGTTTGCTATTGCCATCCTATGAGGCTAAGAGAGTAAACCAGTGGGTTTCCATAGAACCATTGAGCTAGAAGAGACTACAAGGGCTATCCAGTCGAACCACCTTCTGCCATGCAGGAACTCACAATCAAAGTACTCCCAGTAGATGGCATCCAGCCCCTGCTTAAAGTCCCCCAAAGAAGGAGACTCCAACACCTTCCAAGGCAGCATCTTCCACTGTCAAACAGCTCTTACCATCAGGAAGTTCTTCCTAATATTTAGATGGAATATCTTTTCCTGTAGCTTGCATCCATTGCTCCATGTCCCATTCTCTGGAGCAGCAGAAAACAAGTTTGCTCCATCCTCAATGTGACATCCCTTCCAATATTTAAACAGGACTACAATGTCACCCCTTAACCTTCTCTTCTCCAGGCTAAACATACCCAGCTCCCTAAAACGCTCCTCCCAGGACCTGATGGTTTCCAGACCTTCCACCATTTTGGTCACCCTCCTCTGGACACTTTCCAGCTTGTCCACATCCTTCTTGAATTGTGGTGCCCAGAACTGGACACAATATTCCAGGTGAGGTCTGACCAAAGCAGAATACAGTGGCACCATTACTCCCCTCAAGGTAGACCCTATACTCCTATTGATGCAGACTAGGATCACCTTGGCTTTTTTAGCTGCCGCATCACACTGTTGGCTCATGTTCAGCTTGAAGTCTACTAAAACTCTGAGATCCTTTCAGCTTGAAGTCTACTAAAACTCTGAGATCCTTTCTGCATGTACCCTTGTCAAGTCAGGTGTCACCTTCCCTTGCCTCCCAGCTCCAGGCTATCTTGGATGAAAC